CATGTACAATAAAACTAGGATAGGTAAATTACGAGAATCTCTGGGAAGATATGATATAGTTAAGTACAGATTTTAATAGTTCCAAATTTACCTGTTCTGATGAGCCAGAAGGACCATATAGAATTATTTAGTAAAGAAGTATGCACTTAATCTTATGTCGTTAAATGTGGGACAGATAGAAATCAAACACATTTTCGGCGTGATGCCTGCAGTTACATTTAGGGCTATCAGATATTTGTCTGGTAAACTTATATACACTGTTTACACAAACATTATATACCATGAACCAGGTATAACCATTAGTGTACGTATCGCAACACGCAGACATTGTATACAACGCACCAGACGTAATTAGAATATATATATACTGCATCACACAAACATTTTGTACCGTCCACAAGAGATAGCGATCACTACACTTACTGCAACACGTGCATCTGATACCATGCGCCCCACATGACCATATACGTACTATAACAGGGTCAAAATACTAACATATTGTGTCTGTAATAATTTGTTGTTAGCTGATGAGTAGAAGGTTAGATTTCTCAGTTAGATGAGGAAGGGGTTTGTGTCATAATTTATCCTTTCTTGTACATTTGATACAAGCAGGCTTTTGGGTGAAAGTTGGTTATATCAGCCATGGCTCTAAATGGAAAAACACTCTTTGGTTTGTTGTGTTTCTTTTTCACCGTGATACTCAGAGCTCTCTCAAAGCCTCCGTAATTAGTCCAACACTGTTGGTAATAAGATTGGATTAAGAGAGGCCAGTGGGTTTATACCCGGACTGTCGACAAGGTTGTATCCCAAAACCCCTACATGCCACTACCCCTACAGCCCAGTACCCCTACAATTAGTTAAAACAACACACGGCATTTACCTGTCTGGCATAATGAACTGACCCAAAGAGAGATTAGTGCATAGAGTATACAGATGAGATCAAGGGAGGGATTAAACTGTTCTTTAGTGTTTTGTGTCAAGGAAATTTGGGATTAGCTAAAAGTTGTTTTAGTTTCATGATGAAAGATAAACCTCTAGTGAGTAGAACAATTTTACAAATTGGATAATGTGTAGGTTGTTAAATGTTGAAATTAAGTTGTTTTAGTGCCATGATAAAAGATACACAGTATTATTGAGAAGTGGAGGGAAATGAGAAGGTGAGACGAGAAAGTAAATTGAGATAGTTCGGTATAGTATATAGCTGTTGACAACAAACTAACATGGCATCAACATGGCTGGTCTGCGTAATGTTGAGTTTGTTATGTCACGGAGAGGTAGCCCCCAAGTCCTATTTGACGGTTATCTTCACACTAAGAATGTCGAGAGACAGTCTTGTGTACACTGGAAGTGTGTTCAGTCAACATGCAGAGGAAGAGTCACAACTGTTGGCAATGTTGTAAGGAATACGACAGAACATAATCACCCACCAGAGGATAGTCAGAAGGTCCGGTTTGTCAGCAACCTGAGGAAGAGAGCCAGGGGAGGAGTCAACACAGATGCGCACCATCTACAACGACGAGCCTGAATGTTAACAATTAATTGTTAATGTCCATCAAAGAATCATGATGACGAATTATTGTTAATTCTTATTAAAATCTTGATGACAAATGATGATCACTTTTCATTAAAATCATTCTCTCAACCTTTTAGTTGTGTGTTGTTATGTCTCTTAAGTGGATAAGTCCATTGTGTGGAATAGGTAACAGGCAGTGGATTAACAGTGCAACAGACCGTAAACTATGTTGTTATAAGCTGTAGGGGTAGTGGCATGTAGGGGTAATCGGGGGTTACCGTCGACAACAACAAATAAACTGCCCTTTTTCCGGGGAAAAGGAGTTGATATTCTACATGAGTGACTTCACGCCCAGTGTTCTTGAAATTAATAAACCAATTGAAAACAGAGTGCGATATAAAAAGTAGACACTATATCTATTTAGTCAATATAACAACATGTATGCATCATATGTCACACAATATAACATATTTGTATATATATTTCATAAATATCACACAGTATATTTGTGTGTTTGTGTATTATATAAATGAGTGATTACTGCAGGTGTAATAAATACGTAATAAATATATAAAAGATGAGTTGAGTTATTTCTTCTTGCCAAAACTCCTTTATATCTGCACTAAAGTAATCTGAATGTTCAGCCAAGATGAAGCAACTCTGACACATGGTCTGTGTAGTTAACATATTTGTATATATATTTCTTAAATATCACACAATGTGTGTGTGTGTGTGTGTGTGTGTGTGTGTGTGTGTGTGTGTGTGTGTGTGTGTGTGTGTGTGTGTGTGTGTGTGTGTGTGTGTGTGTGTGTGTGTGTGTGTGTGTGTGTGTGTGTGTGTTATAAATAAGTGATTTCTGCAGGTGCTGACTGTTCCTTTTGCAGCAAACCTCGCACAACCTCAAACACATTCAGATGTGTCTTCATGGCATACTTGTTGATTTTGTTGTGGCAACCGTCCAAATGATTAAATACACAGTGCCATTTAGAAAGTGGTCAAATGTAACATAGCAAATATAATTCTAGTAATGCTGTTTGGGCGGAGTGTGGTAGATATCAATTGTATGTAGATTATCATGTTAAATGTATTAAGTATTGGTGCAAACTTTTGAGGATGGATAATAGTAGGTATCCCAGACAGAGTTATCTTTTAATGAAACAGCTCGATGAATCTGGCAGGACAACATGGGCAAGTGGTGTAAGGTAATTACTTTTCAGTTTGGGATTTGGTGATGTGTGGCTGTTTCAGGATATTGGTAATGTGGATATGTTTTTAATGCTATTTAAGCAACGCATATGTGAAAGTAATTTACAGGTAATTTTTAATATCATAAGTACATCTGATAGGTTAAAATATTATCTCCAGTTAAAATCGTGTTTTGATACAGAATATTATATCATGAATATTAGAAACTGGGAGTTGAGGAGATATTTATGTTTGCTTAGATTAGACGAGTTATCTATTCAAACAACTATTGGTCATAGGCAGGGTAAAGATAAATGTTTGTGTTTCTGGAAGAATTGTAATGATAATGTAGTTGAAGATGTTATACACTTTTTGTTTGAATGCCCAATGTATAATTTGATAAGGAGAAAATATATACCATCTAGATGTTCTGATAACCCTACTTCTTATTCTTATAAGTTACTAGTTCGCAGTAAAGATCATGAAATTATTCTAAATGTAGCAAAATATGTTAAACATTGTTTGCCTCTCCGCAATGTATAATCATTGTCACTTTCACTATATCATCATATATTATTATTCAACGATGTACATGGACCGATGGCCTAAAAAACGAATAAACGATATATCTATGTTATATTTGGGATTACACTTTGTTTATAAAGTACAGATTCTAGTACTTTTGTTGGGTTGAGTCCCATCCGTGATTCGAACCCACATCCTCAGAGTCAGACACCTAATCGCCAGCACACAAAGTCAGACGCCCAGATCGCTCAGCCACCGCGGCTTCCACCGGTGGAAGCTCAACCCAACAACAGTTTTAGAATCTGTACTTTACAAAGAATGATTCCAAGTTGATTCCAATGTTGGCAGAGTCCATGGACCTTCAACCCAGGTGGTAGTAATGGTTGTTTTTGCATGTTAAACTCCAAAATGGTAATCCTTCCACTCGCATAACGTAAAATAATAGTCCGTTTGCAACCTTAATTCTCTTACAAATTGTTAAAAAGACATTCTCTGTAATTAACTTAATTCATTTACTCATGATACGAGTATAGCCACCATAGCCACTTGCAAATCACTAAGCAAACATTCTCTTTAATTACTTAACACCGTCACGGTATGTTGACCACGCGGTGTCGACTCTCCGGGTTTTTTATTCTGCAACATCATCTTTTCATTTGTCGACAGATCGACAGATCGGGAACACTTAAGTGTTCAGGGGCCACTCTGGGATGAGTTGTTAACAAGGCGTGAAAACTCAGGGGCCACTGTGGGAAAGGCCACTCCGGGGCATAAATCCTAACCAGCTTGCATTGCATTGCATTGTCAAACTTGCGTAATACTAGTATTACCAGCGCGTCATGCAGGCATTAACTTGCTTACAAATTCGGACAGATCATGGGTATAAATACTGGGGTAGTTATTCCTGTTTTGCGTGTTTTGCCTGAGATCTTCTCTCTTTGTATTTGAAGGTAAGTCACCTTTACTTGTTACTTTGTCATTTGGTAAAATTTGCCTTAAGTCCTTCTAACCGTGCTACTCTACTTGAACAATGAAATCATATTACTTTAATCTAACATGCTGTTCGAAATTACCGTTCGTTCCCTGTATGCCAATTTTGTACAGTTTAAAGATATAGGTCCCTTTAGTATAGGGGGTCGTGGTTGCTTACAATAAGCACTTGTCCAATCCACCTTGTATGCCGTTTACATTCTGACTTCAACATGTTTATTATATGAATCTATATCTCGGTCTATGTCATACAGTTTGTAATTCCTATTGAATAGTTTCAGCGTTAATAATATATTTATTTGTCTTATAATTATTATTCAGAATTACCAGTTAATCGAATGTCTGTGCCTTCATGTATATCTGGGGCGGTGGGGTAGCCTAGTGGTTAAAGCGTTCGATCGTCACGCCGAAGACCCGGGTTCGATTCCCCACATGGGTACAATCTGTGAAGCCAATTTCTGGTGTCCCCGGCCGTAATATTGCTGGAATATTGCTAAAAGCGGCGAAAAACCATACTCACTCACTCACTCACTCATATATATCTAATATAGACTCCTGTTTTGCCTGAAATCCTCTCTGTTTGTGTTTGAAGGCGTGGGCATCCTGGAACTAATTCCCCGAAATAATTCTAGGTTTGAACAGTCCACAACAAGACTGATTCAGGAGTATAACACACAAACATCATATACCACGTGTGGCAGGTCAAGTGAGTCGAAGCCCGTATGCAAGAAAAACGAGGTCACATTTGTGTTGCTGATCACTGAGGCAGTCAGTTCTGAAACAGAAAGTCAACATGACTGACGGCCCTCTCGTTGTCTCTGTCCGAACAGGGGATATCCAGGGTGCTGGGACCAACGCCAATGTTTCTTTAATCCTCCATGATATTCAGGGCAAGACTTCGCCCAAAATCAACCTCAACCACTTCTTCAGAGATGATTTTGAGAGAGGAAATACCGACACATTCGAGCTGCAGCGGGCACAAACAAAAATGCTTTGCAAGCTCGGTAAGATTGAAGTGTTCCGTGACGATTCTGGATTTGGAAGTTCCTGGTACGTTGAAAGAATCACAGTTGAGAACAAGTCTAACGGCGACGTGTACATCTTCCCCGTGTTCAGGTGGCTGCGACCTCATTACCACTACGTGTTTCGGGAAAATGACACCTTCCTTCCACAGAACGATGCCCAACAGGAGCAGAGGAGGCTGGACTTGGAGGAGAAACGCAAACTGTACATGATTAAAACCGTCGATCTGAAGCTGCCAGCATCGGTATGTATTGTTATCATATGCTAAAAAACATTAAATGTTGTATACTGTGATCATATACCACAGACAAATAACTGTTCTATACTGTGATCATATGCTACAAACAAATAACTGCTGTATACTGTAATCATATACCACAAACAAATAACTGTTCTATACTGTGATCATATGCTACAAACAAATAACAGTTGTATACTGTAATCATATACCACAGACAAATAACTGTTGTATACTGTGATCATATACCACAAACAAATAACTGTTGTATACTGTGATCATATGCTACAAACAAATAACTGTTGTATATTGTGATCATATACTACAAACAAATAACAGTTGTATACTGTAATCATATACCACAGACAAATAACTGTTGTATACTGTGATCATAACAAACAAATAACTGTTGTATACTGTGATCATATCAAATAATATACTGTGATCATATGCTACAAACAAATAACAGTTGTATATTGTGATCATATACTGCAAACAAATAACAGTTGTATACTGTAATCATATACCACAGACAAATAACTGTTGTATACTGTGATCATATACCACAAACAAATAACTGTTGTATACTGTGATCATATGCTACAAACAAATAACTGTTGTATACTGTGATCATATACCACAAAGAAATACCTGTTGTATACTGTGCTCATATACTTCAAACAAATAACTGTTGTATACTGTGATCATATGCTACAACCAAATAACTGTTGTATACTGTGATCATATACTACAAACAAATAACTGTTGTATATTGTGATCATATACTACAAACAAATAACTGTTGTATATTGTGATCATATGCTACAAACAAATAACTGTTGTATACTGTGATCACATGCTACAAACAAATAACTGTTTTATACTGTGATCATATACCACAAATAAATAACTTGTATACTGTGATCATATACTACAAACAAATAACAGTTGTATACTGTGGTCATATGCTACAGAAAAATAACTGTTGTATGTAGCAGCATATTAAGCATTCAGTACTAAACACATTTAATGTAGTACAGTTGTCGCGTTGCACAAGTGCACATACACGCGCACACACACACCTAAAACATTTGAGCTTTTTCAATAACAGGTCTTGCCTAAACTGTACTGTATACACACTCAGGCCGCCCTCAGCGGCATTGGAGGTACAACATTTATATAAAATATATCTTGATGTGCAGGTATTAAATATGCATCAACAACTTCTGGGGCAATAGCTATCAGAGTACAATATTCAGTTGCGAAACATGTTGTTTGTGTTAGATTTTTCACATTTTGGATAATTTTCGTTCAGTTCCTACTATTCGACTATTATGAAGTAAATTAATTGTAAAGAAGTTTAGTTTAGTGTAATGGACTTTTTGTCTATTATGAAGTAAATTAATTATAAAGAAATTTAATTTAGTGTAGAAATATTTGTGAAATTGCTGTTTTACTCATTTAAAAAACTAGACAGATAAATAGGTAATGAAATCAGCTAAATCACCTAATTTATAAAGTGGGCAATTTCCTTCCGATACTGGTATTTATCCATCTGCCAGTCAATGGACAAATTATGATTGTTGGTTCTGAATTTTAACAATACACGCCAAACGTTTTCTGGCAGATTCAGGTAATTTTCAAAACTTAGGAAATCATTTTTAAAGTACATGTATGTTCAAATGGTTCCTTTTGAAGATTTATCTGTCGTATCTCTCCAAACCATGTAATAGAAACACCCGTCAGCGTCCCAACTAAGAAAGTGTTTTGAATGTAACTGGGCAAACCTTAATTCTATCTTCCGCATCATTGACTGGCGTACATTAACACACGGTGGCTAGACAGGGGGGCCATTGCGACGGTAGAACACAACACGGGAACTGACCGGGCACAACAAGCACCTGGGCTAATGGATATATACGTCAAGGATGAACTCTCCCAGGTATTTCTAGCTGTCGATATCAACAGTGGATACCTGACAGTCGAATATGCATTGTCGATATTCCGCCCGATGCAATGTTAAGAGGTTATTACATGATAGTTTTCTTTCGCCAGTCACATCGGCCCGAGGGCTGATATGGTAGTCGAGGGCTGATATGGCTGGCGTAAGAGAAACTGTCATATCATAACCCTTTAATCATATACCACATCAAGGGACGTAACAAAACCAGGACCCGTCTGTTGAAGTTTCGAGCGTTTGCGTGTATTCATTCCGTACCAGTTTAGCAGCCGGGCAATACGGCTGATATGGATTTTCGGCCCAAGGGCTGATATGGCTGATATGCATTTTCGGCCCGGGTGGTCAAAATGGGCATATGTCTACAGCCAGTATTGTATGTGCAAAATGGTCCATGTTATTGCTAAGCATATGATAAATGTATATATCTGTGGATTCAAAGAATATAAGATTACTTATCTACTTACATTCGTCCACCATGGTGATTCTTGGTTAGAACAGGCCTTCATGACTCAAAGCTTGTTGTATATGAGTCGAGATCAGTTACAGGCGTCAATTACAGTTAGCCCTCCTTCCTTTTTCGTTCCCCTTGAAAGACAAAGTCATCACAAACATGAACCCCAGTTTAATGCAAAAGTATCTCTCTATATATTTTTAATGGCGAAAACAGTTTCCCATTATGCATATTCCGCTGAGCACCACGTGACCTTTCCGCTCGTGACGTCATATGTGACTGAAGTCGAGCATATTTCTAACAAGATATAAGACCAAGTCCTATAATAGTTATGTAAACCGCTATGTTCTGTCGTTTTCTTAAGATAGTAAGATGGTGTATTGTGTTGCTTTGGGATGCAGCGTCATCAAACTTAAAATCAAAGAGGAAGCCATCAGCAATAGGCATATATAACGTCATGTCACGTGATACCGGCTTCTGCTCATTAACTGGTCTTTCCGTAACAGGCGGAAATACGAATACTTTTGCCATTTCACAAACTTTTTGTTCAATTTTTGTCTATGAAAAAATGAATTGGCGTTAATATTCTCCCTTATTCGTACACATATATTTGTAAAAATATGAACCCAGAGCAGTTTCGAACACTAATAATTATGAAAGCCCCCGGCCCCGACTTCGTGTTCCCAGACAGTAATATGCTGGTGTTAACCAACGAATGAATCACCATTGCCTATCATGTCAATTCTGAATTTAAGACTAAATTACTATATGTCCTGATAAAGCCAACGCGTCTCGTTCTATTTCAGATTACAAGCCTGCCTGTGGATGAAATGTTTTCAGGCCAGTATCGTGTACGTATGCTAACAGTTTTGTGGTTCTCCTTATAATGATGGGTGTCTTGCCAATATTTGTTAATATCTCATTTGGCGATGTGAGGGAATTTTCATGAACTGAGATTTTTCCAGTTGCTTCTGGTATTTGTAAGGGATATCGCACTGTGTTCTAAGGTTTTCGTATACGAATGGTGAAGCCTCTCAGGAAATAATAGGATAATGATATTATTGCTTCATTAATGTAACCACTGAATACTAATGTAATGAGTACTTTGTATATGTCGTCAACCTACCAATGCACTCAACCATGCTTTGCTGTTCGTTCTAGTGGGACTTGCAGAAACTGAAACTGAACCTGATAATTCAAAGCAAAATAACCATGATTACATCAGGAAGATGGAAAACTCTGGACGACATAAGAAACGTCTACGTCATGGACATCTTCAACGAACCAAAAGTAATGTGGAAGGGAATAAGTCATAGCTGGCGTTATTCAGGTTATTGAGCTGTATAAGCCAGCAACTATGCTACTATATATACCACCTCTCTGCTGGTGTGGTAATTCCCATATAATATGCCATCTCATCAAGACTAAAAACCACTCAAAATACTAAGTTACTCCAGCCTACATACTAAAACAATTCCTAAGAATCGACAGGGTGATCCTGATACCTTAATTCGATTCCCTAGGGGGTAAATTTCTGGTACGACACATGCATAGCAATTAAATGAACTGCTTTACTCTTAAATATCATCAACAGAGCAGCAGGGTGTGGCAAGAGGACTGGTTTTTCGGCCACCAAAGGATTGCTGGACTTTGCCCTTCCCTGATCCATCTCTGCACATGCGTTCCGGAAAAGTAAGTTCCACTAATTGGTAACGTGAGATTGTTCCTCACCCTAACTCACCCATTTTGTGAAGGAGAATATTACTTTTGAGCTTATCAGTGTTACAGACCCCAGTCTTGCGGAGTAACTACTAAAGGCAGTGTAGACCTCTTAACTGTCGTTTATCACAGGGTTTTTATTATTGCTCTTTTCAGATTAGGCATTGTCGAGGGAGACTTGCTGCCATTCCTAGAGGGACAAACTATGAAAGAGGCTCTGACCAACAAGAGGCTGTTCTGCTGTGACCTTGCCATTTTGCACAACTTCCCCGCAAAAAGCAAAGAACTCAGGGTTTGTTACTGTGTCAGAAGTTCATGGCCTTCATTATATGACTCGTGTGCAGGTTGTCTTGTAAAGAGAAACTGTTTGTACACTGAACAGGGTTGAATTTTCCTATTAATGACACATTTGACAATGTATAGATGAATGACAATATGCCCTTAATCCAGGCAAACAAGTTCCATATATACCGTTATTTTTACCGCCTGTGTAGGTATGTGCCCCGATCCTGTTGCTGTACCAAACCAACAGTGGCCAGCTCCTTCCAGTCGCCATCCAGCTGTTCCAGGAACCAGGGTCAGACAACCCGGTAATGTGACCACCTTCTAACAGATATCACATCAGACGAGTTTATTATTGCAAGCTGTACTCGACGATTACGACTAAACGCAGCTATGTAACAGACAGTAACGTGCTCTCGTTACTGCAGTTAAGTAGCCGACAATTTGAGCCGAGCTGTCGACATATATATATTGTACGACAAGGCCAGCAGTTACTGCGTAGTGCAATGGTGGAAGACAAGCAATGGGTGAACGCGTGTCTCTGAATTCCACCACGACCATACATCGCATAAACTAACTTAAATCTATCAGGAGGAATGTGCGTGGTGTTGGTTGCACTTTCTAAAACATCTCAACTTAACGTACTCAAACAGTGATATGTAATGGCATGTGAGCATCATTAAGATGAATTACATTCTAACCTGGGTCAGTGTAATGTGTCTGTTGCTGCATGAAAGACCACGATATATGTGAACAAGCTATACATGTGGCGGAAGCCTCGCTAGCGGCAATCAGCAGTGAGCCTTTTACATCTATGGCATTTTCACAGTTGTATTTGACAGCTGTTATTTCTAACATTCAACGTGACATTTGGGAAAGGTCGTCTACCAAGGCGGATTTGTTTAGTTATATAATTTTCAAACATGAACTCATTTATATTACTATGGTGTAATAATAAGATTCTGTTAGCCACACCCAGTTATTGACAAACGTATCAAATACACTCATATATGACCTAAAATGTATTGTAACATACAGTGAAACTTGTCTAAACCGGCACCCCACGGAACCGAAATAAAACGTTTTTACCGAAATGCCGGATTAGTCGACACACCAGTGTCGGTGCTGATATAGGTTGTATGTTTGTAATACATCTATCTTCCCATCCATCGGTGTTCCATGACCACAAGTAAACCTAAATACATTTGCCATAAATGCCAAACCCATGACAGGTGTTTCCTTCCACCAGGTGTTCCTGCCGTCAGATGACCAGTACTTATGGCTGCTGGTGAAAATGTGGTACAACCATGCAGAGACATCATACCACCAGTCCTTGGTTCACCTTGGTAGGTTCCTATCTTGTACATCCTCACAGTCAGTTTAAACCAACAGCATTCGTGTAGAGTATCTTTGCAGAACTGTCTTAAACACGCTGATATTATATCATAGTATTAACTGATTTTCAAGCATTAGATTAACAAAGCCGTTTTCATATGTCAGGGTTCACACATCTCGCGATGGAAGGAGTAAGTCTGAGTATCAACAGGTGTCTGTCCGTCTCCCACCCAATCTACAAACTCCTGGCGCCGCACCTGCTCTACATCCTAGCTATTAACAGGTACTTCAGTCAAGTGGTGTGCAAAGTCTCCCCGTTTTGAAATAGAATTTATAGCACATATATTTATCCTGGCCAATTAAGGAGTACCATTACTTAAACTATATCATACTTGTTGGTAATTACATTATAACATGACATGGAATGAGGTTGGTACGACAGGATTGTCTTATCTTGGTTTGACGTTCATTTCCGCACTCCACCATTTTCAAGATGAATACACGCTGAATGTAAATATTTCAAACACCTGAAACATGAAGGAGGCAATATCCGTTTCTTATAATAACGCTACAAGCTTATACAAATATTTGTGATGATACTTGATGCGAGATAGTTTAACTTTTTTCGAAAATGGCACACGGTCAAGTCACCAAGCTTGACCTCCTGATCAATTAGACTGGCTGTTACAGCTTATGTATTCCAATTTTAACTGTTATGAGACGCGGGGAATCATCTTGTGTGACCACTAAAATTGTATTCAATTTAGCCAAATGTGTATGAAGTCACTTTTTCTCCTCCAGTCGCGCTATAGAGAAGTTGTTGGCTCAGGACGGGTGGATTCAAAACACTATGACTGTTGGCAGAAATGGAGTTCTGAACCTTGTGAAACTCGGGTAAGATATGAATTGTGTCATTACAACATAAACTGAATTAAACATACTTCATGGTATTTGTTATCTCACAGTCAGTTTCGTTAGCTGTATTACGTATGTGTATAACTTGAATAACCAGCATACTCAACACCTATATGTACTATATAATTAAATATAATCTCGGAAATACTGGTAGTGCATCGTGGCCCACCCTAATTCCAGCATCTCTTGACCACGTACCTGTTTTAGAACTAGCATGGTCGGTACACTACGTGTGTCTAATGTGAATCATGACTTATACCTGTGTTGTTCAGAGTATCACAATGGCGGCTAGATGAGGACGGAAATCTCCCGGAGGACCTAAAAAAGAGAGGGGTGAGTGAGCGGCTAGCAGGGAGCCCAGGGGCCCAAGACCTGTAGTGGGTGCCTATATGAATGAATTGGGCCAACACAAAGCAGGTTAAACACACATCTACGAACATAGCAAAACTTCGAATCGACATGGTTTCCTTGAGAAAAGCAGCAAAGGATAGCAGGTTGGGTATCGCAAGAGTGACGAAAGACAAATGTCCGCCCATTTGCACCTTTGTCAGTAAGCCAACATATTGTATGTAAATTATGTGTAGAGTTAAGGATATCAAATAGTAAATTGACCTCACAACAGCAATCTGCCTGCATGATTGTATGCAGCTGATGTGGCCTCGACATAAGGAACATGATTCTATTCAACGTCTACGTGCGTGTTTTACTCTTTATACTTTCTGTATGGGTAATTTACAAACACTTTTTTCTGTGTTTTAAAAAGCCTTGATAATATTGGTCGCGCCTGTGTAGTTCAAGGACCTGGTGTTGCAGGTGTACGACAAGGATGTACTGCCTAACTTCCACTATCGGGATGATGGATTACTCTTGTATGACACAATCAACAAGTACGTCACCAAGTATGCCCACTTGTACTATGGTAAGTTCCACTGGATGTTTACTGTCACAAACATAAATAATCTTTCTACTAGTGAGAGAAAGGACACCTCCCGTTTTCAAATCTGTTAGAAGCTCAACTGGAAACCTATGGGACTGTCGTTACGACACCATACTGCTGCCTTCTAATCACATCAACGTTAACAGCATCAAATGCAAATCGCTAAATGTTAATCTCCTCAAGCCAAACCTAACATGTTATATGGATCGTGAATCCAGAAACTGTGAGAATCACATGGAATTTACACTTGGCATCTACTTTGTGACAAAATATGCAACGTCTACTCCAGAGACGGACGATGTTCTGCTTGCTGACTGGGAGATCCAGGCCTGGGCCAAGGAGCTGGTGGCGCCGAGAGAACATGGTGGCATTGGGATGAAGGTGAGTGGAACATCAGAGCAACATCAGAGCTATGGAACCTTCCGGGTCAGTTTGTTATCAACAAATATAGAATGAAATGGGTTTACGTCACCAATCATACTTGTTATGAACATGCATTTCAAGACAGCGGCACAGTTACCGCTGGGCTTTTTGGGGGGGAGGATTTCACATGGTGATTTTGTACGTTCATGGCGTGTGTGCACGATTGTGTGTCTAGGAATAGGCCGATGGTTTTTCGATCGTACCCTTGCTTCAAAATGAATGTAAATTGTGTATTGTTCAATTTGAACTGACATGCTGACATACCATGGATACCGATCGGTAAAAAGTTAATAAATATCGTAGTCTGTGTGGACGGGCGCCCATTAAATCTCTAAATCATCATCAGCAGCAGCAGCATTGTCATCGGCTCACAATGTACAGGTATAGTTTGGTCTGTTTGTACACAGGGTGTTCCCGGCAGTGGTGAATTCCGATACTTGAAAGACCTCATCCAGACATTGACGTCGGTCATCTTCACCTGCAGCGTCCAGCACGCTGCCGTCAATTTCCCCCAGTACGACTACTATGCCTTTCCGCCAGCCTATCCCGCTGGTCTGAACGGGTCACCACCATCTCGGAAGGTAGATTTTCCACTGATACCCCAGCTCATGATGCTCCAGTATAGATTACTCAAGTCCACTAAGTCCCCGTTGGATACCGTTAAATTCATTTGTGCTGTATATACGTTTTGAAATAATGGAATCGGTATCTAACAAAGGGACATGTAGTCATCTATTTACAACAAACTGTCTGTATTTGACATTATTACACGTTGTTGTAAGTGTGTATTGTCGTTAAACGAGTGACCCTTTCACGTTTGCAGAGACATGCCATAGAGATGTAGCATTATAAATAGAAATTACTAGAAATCAATTTTGGCCACCAAACATATCACAAATGTCTAGCATGCCAAGTCGCTGCATAGTGCCCAATTTCAATCATTTGTTTTGAAAAGTAACGAAGTTACATCAGAAACAAATTCCAAGATGTTCGCTCGGACCATGTTGAATCCAAGACCAAGAACAGAGCTTGTTTACTATTCAAAAACATCTGATCCAGCTTCTTCAAGTTCGTTAGTTGATAAGTGCCCACTGAGAACAACCGTGGCATAGCGAGATAGAAAGTATTTCAGAAGGTACATGCTTTTCAGTTATTAATTATTCTCCTGACCTATCTAGTATTACCATTAAGAACATGTAATCACCATCTACCTGCAGAGTGAGTGAGTGGGTATGGTTTTACGCCGTTTTACAACATATATTTACTCCTGTACTACCACCACAGACTGCGGAATGTACAGCAACTGAACTCTGTGTGGCAGGACAACGAATATTATGATATTCACAGTTATAATGAATTGATATGTTAACATTTTGAAATTTCATGTTTCGTTTTGCCCAGGTGTTTAATTACTGATTTGCCTACAGATTACCATTAAGTCTGTTCTTCCAGTCCCCACTGAAGATGCCTGATGTCCTGCACGCTCTGCCAGACAAGAAAACAACCTTTGATATTATGGTTGTCACCAAACTGCTCAGCAGCAAGGGTGTCAAGAGTCTGGGGGACTTCGAGGTTCAATATGTGTTTGATCCAAAAGCGACTGTTGTTCAAGAGGAGTGAGTATTGGATGAGATCATCCGGTCAGTAATGTCTAAATGGTGTCGACTTGTTGATGGGTCTGTTACAGTTTACACCATCCGGTCAGTAATGTCTAAATGGTGTCGACTTGTTGATGGGTCTGTTACAGTTTACACCATCCGGTCAGTAATGTCTAAATGGTGTCGCCTTGTTGATGATTCTGTTACAGTTTACACCATCCGGTCAGTAATGTCTAAATGGTGTCGCCTTGTTGATGATTCTGTTACAGTTTACACCATCCGGTCAGTAATGTCTAAATGGTATCGATATATCGATTATTCTGTTACAGTGTACACCAGCGCCTCAGTAGTGTTTAAATGGTGTCGACATATTGAATTTCTCCAACAGGTTTAACTCTTTATAGGTCGTGTCTAACACGTGTCATTTGATTAATGATTCTCTTACAGATTCCGGGCAGATCTTAAAGAAGTCGGGAGGGTGATTGAGGAGCGAAATAAGACACGGAACCCGACCTATGACTATCTTCATCCCGACGCTATCCCAAATTCTATCAGTATCTAGCCGTCCCGGTATTACTGTTCATGAATATGTGAACTAGTTTGAACAATTAGCATTTACTTCAAATGGCAGAAGGTAATGTAGTGTACCGACGAGCACAGAGTAAGCACTACGTTAGATGTAATGGAAATGTACCCTGATGTGAGATCACTAACACTAGGTTCTACGCACTATTTAACAAAATACACAGTTTGGATATTTTGTAAACTTTTGAAAGTGCATACTCACCAGTGCAAATCATTTTAAACACGTAGTCAGGTTAGGTATACACTGGAAGAAACCATTATATCATTTCATGCATTGCACTGTTGGTGAGCCAACTGCCTCAGTGTCGTTCAACATGACAATGGTTGGGACATGAGGAGGACATGGTTGTGCACGAAGAAAATGAAAAAGAATTCGTGTCATGAAGGATAAGGGAAGTTCGATTGCGTTACTAACCGTTTCGTCTTTTAACGTTTTGCGAGTTTTGGCCTTACAACAACACGAAGTGTACATCAACTGATTAAAAAAGAAGAAGCACAGAAGCGCTAACTTTCCTGGTGACATTTGAAGGATGCGTCACTTTAATGCGTCACTTGAAAGAAGCTGAATGACGAAAGTCGGAAGTGCAGACATTGCAGATACTCGGCGCTGCCTGATATGTCTTGGGCATGGAAGCAAGAGGGTAGGAATCAGACCCTGGGGAATGGCTGCCTCACGACCTGTGATGGAAGAGTCGTCTGCGGCAGAATAAACGAAAATCTTGCACACAAATCGTGTTTATAGCGCATGTACAGTGAGTACATGGTTTGCACATAGAAACGTTTTGGCGAAGGTATACATTTGCCGTCTATCTTTGTCTCAAAGCTTTGCCTGATGGCGCAATGTTTAGATTACCATATTATTCAGTATGATATATTTCAGTATCGCAATGTGTAACTTTCTGGCATGTATTACTGATGTTGTTCATTTTGAGTTTCTGTCAGGGTGGACAACAAGTATACACAAGTAAAAGACCTCAAACTTCGGTAAACTTTATCATGAATCGAGACGATATTTTCATTGTTTTCAAACGTCACACACCACACGATAAAAGTCAACCTCTGGATAATTTCGATATATGTTGCAAGTTCAAAATGAGAAATATGGCCATATATGCCAACACATGTATGTCAATCAGTCCATTTCCACTTCTGTAACCGTTATAAATATATTTGTTTTGATATGTCAATCCAAGTTTTAAAAAGGAACGCAACCATAAAATATACGTTTTATATACACCAATGTGCGTATTGTTATTTATTGATGTAACGGTCAAGTTGCGCATATGTTTTACAGGATTGAAAGGTTGGGTGGTCCTGACACATTGTTATTAGTGTTTTGTATTTGCAATAGTATTAGCACTATTTATATATACTTTCGGAGCAAGCCCACAGAAATGCCTCCAGTGATAATGAACGGTGAATGTGTTGAGACAGTGTAGGAGTATAAGTATCTGGGAACCTTCATTGACTCTAAGCTGAACTGGATCTCTAACACTGAAGCTCTATACAACGAATGTCAGCAACAGTTTCATCCCATGCGTAAACTCAGATCTTTTAATATTAACCATCTGTGATGTCATCTTTTTATACAACATTTTTTTATCAGAGTATTTTAACATATTCCTCCCATTGTTGGTACGGGTCTCTCTCAGTTCATTTCAAATCTAAAATAGACAAAATTGTTAACACTGCAAGTAAAATAGCTGGAGTCAAATTTGAATGTTTATCATCAATATATGACGGCAAATCGTGAATCAAGCTGTCAAAATTATATCTGACCCAACTCACTACTTAAATTCGGAATACAACCTCCTCCCTTCAGACTGCCGCTACAAAGTTCCAGTTGTGAAAACTAAGAGAGCCCGCACATCCTTTATTCCAAGTACCATATATGTTTTAAACAAATGTGAAAATGATTAAATTCATGAATGTATGTAAATATGTTATGTATTCGTATCTCTCTGATGTGTCAGTAGCTCTGTTGATGTAAGACAATTTCATGAAAAGGCAATTGTATCATTCTATTCTATTCTATTCTATTCTATTCGTAGATCCAGTACTATTACATTATTAGTATCATCGTTATGTATGAACAAATTAGTACATCTCATGTTTTCTTCGAGTTTTATGTGCACGCAGCAAGGTATGGGATTTTATATTCTGAATATTTCTGAAATTGCAAAATAAAACATCTTTCGAATGCCTAAAGGCTTTTGATCATCAATTGACCTCCTCTGTGACACCGAGGCGTGGTGTTTCTATCACAAATACCATATACGTAGAAAAATAAGATCATTTGAAGAAAGATATTGTTATGTAACTCGGATATGTCCATATATATATGACATACATGATTACATTCTAAGACTGTGTACATACACAAAGTTAAAATTGTACAGAAGACAGGAAATGGAACAAGGATTTTGGAGTCGTCTTATTTGATATTATACCATTTTTACTGCAAAAAGATATGAACATGATTTGTGGTGTTGTCATTACTCATTGTTTAACCGCTGACAGGATAATATCGAAATCTGTATGATTTTACATGAGGCATCGTGACACGCCCTTGAAGAGATGTGGTGTCAAAATTCAGTTCACAAATTCAGTATCGTGTGTGTCCACCATTGGCGTCGATGCGGGCTTGACAACGAAGACGCATAGACGACACTTAGCAATTGAAGAAAGCTTGGGGTATGTTATTCCATGTCTGAACCAACGCTTGTCCCAATTCTGCTAACGTCATTGGCTGATTCTGGGCCTTACGTAAACGTTTCTCCATTTCATCTCAAGCGTGCTCGAAGGGAGACTGGTCCCGAGAAACAAATGGCCAGAGGAGTACCAGAATGCTGTCTCAGGAAATCCATTGACAATGACAAGGTTAAACAAATATTTTGCCAATGAATGATGGTATGATGTTGCAATATATACATCTACTTTGTTATGGTGCACTCTAAATTTATGCGGCCACGCAATGCTTCATTACAATGTTATATATACTTTCACAAGTTTTATGGTGAAATATATTCCTAAGTCAGGCAGTTTGGAGATACGACTTATTGTGTCTTTGCATGGTGTGTATCGCAAGGACCTATTACGACTTGAAAGCGCTGAATAGTACCAATACCCCATCCAAATATAGTCCCAGCATGGCGCCCTTGTCTTTATTACATGGTGATCGTCTAGTGATCATTATATCATCAACAATAGAGAGACATGCCACAAACAAACGACATGAATATTCATGGAATGGAGACTCTTTATTACAGAATTCAAGAAGACAGTTCGAACATAGACAGTTTTCCCTGGAGTAGCACCATAAACGCCTGAACATTGACTGGGTTTTCATTGTATGTAGCACTAACCCATAAGTAGTTCTCTCGGCAACGGATAGCACTATAATGATACTTCACTTGTGAGGTCAGCAAATATCTGAAGTTAAGTTGGAATCACCATCAGATACCGTGGAGCTGGAAGCTTTGACCTCGTAGGCCCTCAACTCTCCAATCAACAGTTCTCTCAGATGGTCTTGTTGCTGTGATTTCAAGTGTTGGGCTCCGGAGTGAGACGTGATCAAGTGGTCAGCTGTTGGGGAACAACGGGGTAGAAGATCTGGCAGCAAGGGTGACGGAGCGTGGAACCATGATAGGGGGTTGCAGTAGGGGAGAGGCTGTATGGGATGAGAGTATGGCGGTTTACTGGTCGTCTGTTTGGTGCTACAGGGTCCACGTCGGGTCTTGGTACGTCCTCGGCGAGTACGACGATTCTGAAACCACACCTGGAAATATAACAAAAGAATTTGGTGAGCATCATTCAGTTAAACATCTTCTTCAGTGCAATTGAATTCAATTTCTAAGTTGATTTACACAATTATTAATTACATCTTAACTACACACCTGTATTTTCGACTCAGGGACCTCGAACTCTTGTGAAAGATTCTCTCTGATGTCAAGATTTGGGTAGGGATTCTTTCAAAGATCGCCTCCATCTTATCAAGCGCATGTTGACTGTACATGGTACGTCGTCTTTCTGGGACCGTCCGGCATCTTGTTGAACTGGATGTTCGTGGGAACTCTGAATGAAAAAAGTACATAATAGAAATTTACTGGGATCAAGTAACATCAGGATATTATTCCCACACCTTCAGCGAACTACATCTATCTTAATATCAAATGCTGTCATGATTTGAAATCCCACTGAACTCAATTTGACGATTCAATCGATTTAATCCTTAATTTGCTATGCGTGAATACTAACCTTTCTGCAAACCAAGGATTGTGCTGATCGAGTGGTCGGAGTATGATTTTGCCATCTTTGAGAACGAGTCAAGTTCAAAGGTTGCTGATTCATGGGTGATTTGAGGTGAGATACACTCACGTCTTTTATACCATATTAGAGGTGACGGGTGTTGATTGAGTTCAGTCAATCAATTCCACTGCAGTTTGGCTTACAGATGGTTTTGGAAGACGCTCGATATCAAAGAGATTAAAAGTGAACGGGTTGAATGAGACCAACGCACGCGAACAAATAGCCTTTTGTCGGGCAATGTTTGTTGCCAAAAGATTGACATGAGCTGGTTTGCTTTGGGGATTAGTTTAAATGAGGAAGCCACGATAATTAGCAATTCGTAGAATAACATCTTCTTGAATTCTTGTGATATGTTATTTCTGTAATGCAATGTATCTGTCAAAGATTCAAAATCCCTTTGTTTACCAATTCGTTTATACTACTGCCTTATCCCATTAAGCCGTTTATATTCTTCTGTCCCAAGATCAACCTCTTTGTGTACTTAACAGCCATCTCGACGTCATTGTAACACCACCACAATCCACTTAACTGTATAAACACTACCTCATCTTAGTGTAATGCCCTTCAATTTCTGTAATCGTTATAATTTTTGTTGTAAACCACAGCACTCAAAACTTTCACTTAAAAATCCAACAAAGCGCCCCTAAAAGCTTCATATCCCGGTAAACAAGACCAACATATTCACACAAACTTCATAACACCTGAGACACAGAGACTCATTTAAAAACGTAACAAATGGCATGCGACTGCTGAAAACATACTTCATCATTATATGATACATATAATATAACTTAGTAGTATTAGGTTTACTCGTGTGTTTATCAATATTTATGAGATATTTATTCCAAACAAGATTATCAAGATTTGAAGCAAAGTTAAACCTTGACATTGACATTCGTAAATCAATTCGTAAACATAATCGTAAACATAAACTTAGCAACATACTGCTTGTTTACCAAACCGGTTCCTCTTGTGGAAATATATATATTTAAACCAAAGCAAGTAACTATAAATTGGAAAGAAAGTTGAGAAATATAGCAGTATATGTTATAACTATAGAAACTTACTGCTCAAAAATAGATTCCAAGATTAGCGAGAACCATGGCATTTGATAAATAAATTACCTAAAGAGCAAAGAAACGTGTATTCCTCCTACCTATTACATGTACTTCCAAAAATAAAGTATAAGATGATCCTATATCTATAGCAATAGTTCTTAATAACCTTTTCACTACCAGCAGTTATCAACAAGCATGGTTGCAGCAACTATGGATATGCAGATGACACCCAGCTCACTACCATCTTGACACGGAGCTCACTTCTGGCAGACCTTCAGATTGTGGATGACAGTGTGTCTGACATAAAGAGATGGATGACATCTAGAATGCTGCAGCTCAATGATGGTACTGCACTGTTGATAGCCGGCAGCCACAGGCAGCTGCAGGGAGTATCAGTCTCTGGTGTCAAGGTGACATCCTCTGTCATTCAACCTTGCTCTGTTGCCAAGGACCGTGGTGTGTACATAGACTCTAATCTCTCACTCGATGTCCACATTAACCATCTACGTAAAGTCTGCCATCACCATCCCAGAATCATTAGCTCAATCTGACGATACATCACCACAGACTGTGCCCATGCCTTAGTAAGATCTCTTGTGCTTTCTAGACTTGACTATTGCAATAGCCTTCACTCTGGATTGAACTCTATGCAAGTACAGAAACTCCAAACAATTCAAAATACTGCTGCCCGTATTGTATGTCTGAAATCTAAGCGAGATCACATTACTCCATCACTCATTTTCCTACATTGGCTCCCTGTTAAGTACCGTGTCAACTTCAAAATCCTGTGCCTAGTATATACATGTCTCCACAGTCAAGCTCCAGAGTATCTATCTGAACTTCTCACACTGTATACCCCTGCACGATGTCTAAGATCCCAGAATCAACACTTACTGACTTGTCTCCTATGGTCAGAGGACCTTTGCCTACATTGCAGCATTGCTTTGGAATTCACTGCCAGTTGACATCAAATGTGCCGAATCACTGAACTCTTTCAAGTCCCTTCTAAAAACCCATTACTTCTCCATAGATATTCTACTCTCGTTTGACGTAAATAACGTCACTGGTTCATATAGAATTGGTAATGTGTTGCGAAAAGCATAGTGTCCCCTCTAGATTTTCAGCCCGTGTCTTCATGCTATCGATGTGAATAAAAATCAGTTATTCCTATACATAAAAGGTCAGTGTAAAAGAATGAAATTGTTATATATTGGTTTAAACATATTTAGATTTCACCACAACTGAAACCTGGATAGGCGAACGGTTCATTCTCAGGACGTGGACAACCTGACATTTTGCACTCGCAGGACGTGGACAGACGGTGTAACTTGATGTGGTCTGTTGTTTTTGTAAGAGATTAACTGGTCGGGAAGTGTTTAAATGTGAACTTTTAACCGGAATTGTTAAGGTTTCATGAACTCTAGCTGTTCACTCTGGTAAGCATGAGACTATGATAGGTGGGTGAGTTCACTCAGAAATTGTTTTCAGTGTTGATTGGTTTCATAAAATATGTTCATTCTGATAACTATACACCGATAGGTGAGTAAATTAATCGGTGTCAAGAAATGTACCACATAAATCTGACAAATGGAGGTCAATGCATCACTTTCGCCATGGCAAACGTACAGTTAGATTACAAATTTCTTCCGACATTTTGAGATCTAAGATACTTCTGCGTGAATGGGCACACATACATAATCCTGAAGAGAAGAAGAAATGAACTAGATGGAAACCTAGAAGGCGAACTGGAACCACGACGACATCGGTGGACCAAGACAGGGTAAATGTTCACGTTATTGTGACAGATATAGATAACGTCAAAATGGTAAGCGGCTGTTTGTAATATCTTTTTCAGATATGATCAGTATATGTATCACTAATATTATCATTCAAAACTGAATAATCACTGAATAGTGAAACAACGGTATCATACATAGAAAAAAATAAATTCCCAAGTTTGGAATAATCATGGAAAGTCTGATCTGTCCAACATTTCTAAACCAGGGAAAAACGTGTTTTGTTTTCACTGATATTTCCTAAATTGGAAATCTGTTGAAACTTTAGGCACTAGATAGTTCTACAAAGCATCGGGAAACATTAGATAGCACTGGAAATTTATTTCAGTTTTTTTCATGTAAATTGTGTATTGTTCAATTTGAATTGACATGCTGACATACCATGGATACCGATCGGTAAAACGTTGATAAATAGCGTAGTCTATGTGGACGGGCGCTCATTAAATCATCATCAGCAGCATTATCATCGGCTCACAATGTACAGGTATAGTTTGGTCTGTTTGTACACAGGGTGTTCCCGGCAGTAGTGAATTCCGATACCTGAATGACCTCATCCAGACATTGACGTCGGTCATCTTCACCTGCAGCGTCCAGCACGCTGCCGTCAATTTCCCCCAGTACGACTACTATGCCTTTCCGCTCCAGTATAGATTATTCAAGTCCACTACGTCCCCGTTGGATACCGTTCAATTCATTTGTGCTGTATATACGTTTTGAAATAATGGAATCGGTATCTAACAAAGGGAAATGTAGTCATCTATTTACAACAAACTTTGATGATGCGGAAACGACAGCCCTGTCTGTATTTGACATTATGACGCGTTATTGTTAGTGTGTATTGTCGTTAAACGAGTGACCCTTTCACGTTTGCAGAGACATGCCATAGAGATGTAGCATTATAAATAGAAATTACTAGAAATCAATTTTGGCCACCAAACATATCACAAATGTCTAGCATGCCAAGTCGCTGCATAGTGCCCAATTTCAATCATTTGTTTTGAAAAGTAACGAAGTTACATCAGAAACAAATTCCAAGATGTTCGCTCGGACCATGTTGAATCCAAGACCAAGAACAGAGCTCGTTTACTATTCAAAAACATAGTTGATAAATGTCCACTGAGAACAACCGTGGCATAGCGAGATAGAAAGTATTTCAGAAGGTACATGCTTTTCAGTTATTAATTATTCTCCTGACCACATCCGGTATGTACAGCAACTGAATGTGGCAGGACAACGAATATTATGATATTCACAGTTATAATGAATTGATAGGTTAACATTTTGAAATTTCACGTTTTCCCAGGTGTTTAATTACTGATTTGCCTACAGATTACCATTTAGTCTGTTCTTCCAGTCCCCACTGAAGATGCCTGATGTCCTGCACGCTCTGCCAGACAAGAAAACAACCTTTGATATTATGGTTGTCACCAAACTGCTCAGCAGCAAGGGTGTCAAGAGTCTGGGGGACTTCGAGGTTCAATATGTGTTTGATCCAAAAGCGACTGTTGTTCAAGAGGAGTGAGTATTGGATGAGATCATCCGGTCAGTAATGTCTAAATGGTGTCGACTTGTTGATGATTCTGTTACAGTTTACACCATCCGGTCAGTAATGTCTAAATGGTGTCGCCTTGTTGATGATTCTGTTACAGTTTACACCATCCGGTCAGTAATGTCTAAATGGTGTCGCCTTGTTGATGATTCTGATACAGTTTACACCATCCGGTCAGTAATGTCTAAATGGTGTCGCCTTGTTGATGATTCTGTTACAGTTTACACCATCCGGTCAGTAATGTCTAAATGGTGTCGCCTTGTTGATGATTCTGGTACAGTTTACACCATCCGGTCAGTAATGTCTAAATGGTGTCGCCTTGTTGATGATTCTGTTACAGTTTACACCATCCGGTCAGTAATGTCTAAATGGTGTCGCCTTGTTGATGATTCTGTTACAGTTTACACCATCCGGTCAGTAATGTCTAAATGGTGTCGCCTTGTTGATGATTCTGTTACAGTTTACACCATCCGGTCAGTAATGTCAAAATGGTGTCGACTTGTTGATGATTCTGTTACAGTTTACACCATCCCAGTAGTAATGTCTAAATGGTGTCGCCTTGTTGATGATTCTGTTACAGTTTACACCATCCGGTCAGTAATGTCTAAATGGTGTCGCCTTGTTGATGATTCTGTTACAGTTTACACCATCCGGTCAGTAATGTCTAAATGGTGTCCACTTGTTGATGGTTCTGTTACAGTTTACACCATCCGGTCAGTAATGTCTAAATGGTGTCGACTTGTTGATGGTCAGTAATGTTTGGTGTCGCCTTGTTGATGATTCTGTTACAGTTTACACCATCCGGTCAGTAATGTCTAAATGGTGTCGCCTTGTTGATGATTCTGATACAGTTTACACCATCCGGTCAGTAATGTCTAAATGGTATCCACTTGTTGATGATTCTGTTACAGTTTACACCATCCGGTCAGTAATGTCTCAATGGTGTCGCCTTGTTGATGATTCTGATACAGTTTACACCATCCGGTCAGTAATGTGTCAATGGTGTCGACTTGTTGATGGGTCTGTTTAAGTGTACACCATCCGGTCAGTAATGTCTAAATGGTGTCGCCTTGTTGATGATTCTGTTACAGTGTACACCAGCGCCAGTAGTGTATAAATGGTGTCGGCATATTGAATTTCTCCAACAGGTTTAATTCTTTATCTGTCGTGTCTAACACGTGTCATTTGATTAATTATTCTCTTACAGATTCCGGGCAGATCTTAAAGAAGTCGGGAGGGTGATTGAGGAGCGAAATAAGACACGGAACCCGACCTATGACTATCTTCATCCCGACGCTATCCCAAATTCTATCAGTATCTAGCCGTCCCGGTATTACTGTTCATGAATATGTGAACTAGTTTGAACAATTAGCATTTACTTCAAATGGCAGAAGGTAATGTAGTGTACCGACGAGCACAGAGTAAGCACTACGTTAGATGTAATGGAAATGTACCCTGATGTGAGATCACTAACACTAGGTTCTACGCACTATTTAACAAAATACACAGTTTGGATATTTTGTAAACTTTTGAAAGTGCATACACACCAGTGGAAATCATTTTAAACACGTAGTCAGGTTAGGTATGCATTGGAAGAAACCATTATATCATTTCATGCATTGCACTGTTGGTGAGCCAACTGCCTCAGTGTCGTTCAACATGACAATGGTTGGGACATGAGAAGGACATGGGTATGCACGAAGAAAAGCGTTTCGTCTTTTTAACGTTTGTGAGTTTTGGCCTTACAACAACACGAAGTGTACATCAAGTGAATAAAAAAAAGAAGCACAGAAGCGCAAACTTTGCTGGTGACATTTGAAGGATGCGTCACTTTAATGCGTCACTTGAAAGCAGCTGAATGACGAAAGTCGGAAGTGCAGACATTGCAGATAAGCGGCGCTGCCTGATATGTCTTGGCCATGGAAGCAAGAGGGTAGGACTCGGACACTGGGGAATGGCTGCCACACGGCCTGTGGTGAAAGATATGGCAGAGTCGTCTGCGGCAGAATAAACGAAAATCTTGCACACAAATCTTGCAAATCTTGCACACGAGATATATAAATCTCTCTTGTGTTTATAGCGCATGTACAGTGAGTACATGGTTTGCACATAGAAGCGTTTTGGCGAAGGTGTACATTTGCCGTTTGTCTTTGTCTCAAAGCTTTGCCTGATGGCGCTATGTTTAGATTACCATATTATTCAGTATGATATATTTCAGTATCGCAATGTGTAACTTTCTGGCATGTATTACTGATGTCATTCATTTTGAGTTTCTGTCAGGGTGGACAACATATACACACAAGTAAAAGACCTCAAACTTCGGAAAACTTCATCGTGAATCGAGACGATATTTTCATTGTTTTCAAAAACAACACACGATAAAAGTCAACCTCTGACTAATTTCGATATATGTTGTAAGTTCAAAATGAGAAATATGGCCATATATGCCAACACATGTATGTCAATCAGTCCAGTTCCACTTCTGTAACCGTTATAAATTTATTTGTTTTGATATGTCAATCCAATTTTAAAAAGGAACGCAACCATAAAATATACGTTTTATATACACCGATGTGCGTATTGTTATTTATTTATGTAACGGTCATATAGCGCATATGTTTTACAGGTTGAAAGGTTGGGTTGTAGCATTATAACATGTTCCTTCCATTGTTGGTACGGGTCTCTCTCAGTGCTCTGAAATCTAAAATAGACAAAAATTGTTAACACTGCAAGTAAAATAGCTGGAGTCGGATTTGAATGTTTATCATCAATATATGATGGCAAAAGTCGTGAATCAAGCTGTCAAAATTCAGGGAGCCGCTATAAAGTTCCAATTGTGAAAACTGAGAGAGCACGTACATCCAAGTACCATATCTCTTTCAAACAAATGTGAAAATGCTTAAATTCATGAATGTATGTAAATATGTTATGTTAACTATGTTTTGATGTAGATATTTTGGGCAATTGATATGACTTTCATTTATAGGCAATTTGAAAACATTATATATATGAAATTTTCTCGAATTTTCCTTTCACTAACTAGACAAATGTTTTTGTCTTTCCTTTTTTACCCTTTCCTCTTCTGTTTGTTTGATTATTTCTGTTATGAATGTGACAAGAAAAGAATGCCCTTGTTTTGTTTACGTATTATATCATTAAGTTATGATGTTGGTGTGTGCCTATGAAGTTTTGCATCCTCAAGACCCACTGTCTACTATATTTGTCACCAGTTTCTAATTTTCGATGTCGGTTGAAATATCACAGTATAGACAGGCAGTGGGTACATTTGCTGCAGCACTTCATTCTAAACACTCAGGTAAATTTGCTCTTTATCAACATCTATTCAAATTTCGTTGTCTGTATGGCAGTTGTGTTTCCATAATGATTTCACTTTTGTTAATGTGCTGTGGAGATATTCATCCTAATCCAGGACCTAAATGCACAAATGCTTTAAGGATAGTCCATCTAAATGTACGTAGTCTTAAGGAGAAATTAGATATTTTAAGAGTTGAACTTGGATGTTATGATGTGATATGTCTAACCGAAACTTGGTTAACTTCCCATACAAATAACATTGATATAAAAATTCCTGGCTTCCATCTACCTTTCCGTAAAGACAGACAAACTCGCGGTGGCGGTGTAGCAGTCTATGTAAAAGATACTATTTGTGCGTTGTTGATGTCTGATTTAGACATAGTCGGACTTGAGGCGATATGGATACAGACTAAATGTAAAACAAGAAACTACCTGATTGGAACTGTTTATCGCGCCGAAAAGAGCTCCGAATATTGGAATTTGATCGACGAATCAATAGGTAACGCAGTTGATCTTAATATGCAGACAATTATAACCGGTGATTTCAATATTGACGTTCTTCATGGCAATAATCAAAAGATAGACTTTATACAAAGTTACTACGGCCTTCGACAAATAATCACGGATGCTACTAGAATAACCGCAAGTAGTAAAACTTTGATCGATTTGATATTTGTTTCTCGCGTCGACGTTGTCAAAGATTCTGGTGTATTAGATCCCATATGCAGCGATCACTGCCCCGTATTTGTTAACATAACAGAAATGATGCAGCACAAGAATTCATTCAAAAGGACAATCTATGATTATTCTTCAATGGATGTTAATGGTATGAATGAAACTATCAAAGAGATAAACTCAGATATATTTTTCTCTTCGGGGAACGTTGATAATAACACTGAAAACCTTACATCCTTGTCATTGAATATCATGAATGAACATATTCCAAATAAAACTGTAACAATTAGAACCAAAGATCCCGCGTGGATGAATAACGAAATCCGATCCTTAATAAGAAAACGAAATCGTGTTCATAAGATTGCAAAAAACAGAAACCTTCCTAAAGATTGGACTAAGTTCAGAACACTTCGGAACAAAGTAATAGCAACAGTTAGAAATGCAAAACGTGCTTTTGATGCAAGAGTTGATGAATCTATAAATAACACTCATGGTACTAAAATGTGGTGGCGATTAGTTAAGAATTATGTTAAAACAAATTCGATAAAATCGTCCTTTCCATCAATTGTCAGCAATAACATAGTTTATGACAATGAACAAGATATTGCTGATGTACTCAACTCATTTTTCTCAGAACAATCCCAAGTTGCTGACCCTAACGCCGATCTGACTGATTTCGCATTGCGTGAAATCGATCATCCTATGTCATCTATCACAATAAGTAATGTAGATGTTCGCGATATTCTTCTGAGTCTAGATACATCGAAAGCCACGGGGCCTGATGGCATTGGAAACATAATACTGAAACTAACTGCAACCTCTTTAACCCCGTTGTTAGCTAAGTTGTTCAACATCTCCCTTCGTAATAAAACGTATCCTACTTCTTGGAAACTAGCTTCGGTGATTCCGCTTCATAAGAAAGGTGATGAACACGATTGCTCAAACTATAGACCTGTAGCGTTAACAAGCTGTGTCGCTAAAGTTTTTGAAAAATGCATTTTTAAATACGTCTTCAACTTCCTCAGGGATAACAATATTTTATCAAACTTACAATCTGGATTTATGCCTGGTGATTCTACAGTAAATCAACTAACTTATCTCTATAATTTTATCGCAAGTGCCGTAGACCAAGGAAAGGAAATCAGAGCGGTATTCTGCGATGTAAGTAAAGCCTTTGACAAAGTTTGGCACAAAGGTATTATTCATAAACTTTATGCTTATGGTATACAGGGAGAACTTTTGGAGTGGTTTGTAAGTTATTTAGATAGTAGAATGCAGAAAGTGGTAATAAATGGATATAGTTCAGGTATCAAATCTGTGGAAGCTGGTGTACCCCAGGGTTCCGTATAAGGACCACTTCTGTTTATCATTTATATTAATGACATTGTAGATGGTATAGACAGTAACATTCGCCTTTTTGCTGATGATACATCAATATATGCTATAATAGATGATCATATTACAGCAGCCGCAATTATAAACAATGATTTGGCAAAAATTTCAGACTGGGCCAGAAAGTGGCAGGTAAGTTTTAATCCTAGTAAGACTGAGAGTATAACATTCACTCGTAAAACGAAAAATTATGCCAGGCCGAACTTACTAATGAATGGCGAGACTATTAAAGAAGTTGATAACCATAAACACTTAGGTATAACACTTCAAAGCGATTGTTCTTGGAAAGTTCATATAGGTGACATGGTAAAGAAAATAAGTCCAATGATCAATTGTCTGAGAAGTTTGAAATATCGTTTATCTCGGAAAACGCTAAATACTTTATATAACTCCTTTATCTTACCACTTTTTGATTACTGTGGTCATATATGGGATAATTGTACGATTGAACAGGCGATTTTACTGGAAAATTTACACTTAGACGCATTAAGAACTATATGCGGTGCGGTTCGTGGCACCAGTCATGATAAAATATACAAGGAAACCAATTACAGCACACTGAAACAAAGACGATATCGCTCTAAACTTATAATTTTCTATAAAATGTATCATGGTCTGACTCCTGATTATCTGAATGATCTTGTACCAGGTAGAGTATTTCAACAAAGCAACTATAATCTTAGAGATAGTACTTCCATTCAAACTATTAACTGTAGAACACAAAGATATTCACAATCATTCTTACCGAGCGCGATTATGTCGTGGAATTCATTGCCCGATGGAGCTGTTAACGCTATTTCTGTGAGGCAGTTTAAAACCATGATAAATCCAACAGAAACTGACAACTACTTTGATTTAAATTTTTGGACTAGATTTTGTCAAATCATCCATTGTCGCCTCAAGCTCGGCTGTAGTGATCTGAACGCAGACAGATATAATCGACATATATCAGAAACAGCTAAGTGTTCATGTGGTCATTATAACGAAGACGTCATTCACTACCTTTTTACATGTCGGAACTATCAAAATTTAAGAACAACGGTGTATTTTTATATTCAAGGATACGATGTGAAAACTACATTATACGGTAACGACACATTGGATAACTCA